AAACCCGAGACAGGCCTCTGGGGAACCATCTTGGAGCCCCCCACCCTCGCCTGCCCCATCTCTGAGAGAACGGAGCACCTGCTCATTGCTTTCCGGCAGAGATGCTGGAGAATGTCACACTCACTGCCCCCCCCCCCCCCGCCCCCGCCACGCCTGTGCGCCATCCGGGCCCCAGGGCCACAATGTTCCATGTCATTTCCCTTCTCCCAAGCGGTCAACCATGCAGCAGAAGCTCAAGGATTATTCCAAGAGGTGAAAGTGCGGACCCCACACTGTGCCCACACACACGTGCACATACACATTGCACACATGCACACATACACACATGTGCGCATGCGTGTATCCACACATCACATATGCACACATGCACAAATGTACACATATGTGCGCGCACACACATCACACATATGCAGACATGCACACACATGTGCACAAACATTACACACATGCACACATGCACGCACACACATGCACACATGCACACACCACACACATGCACATGTGCACACACATACATATACACATAAGCAGAAATGTACAGGCACACACACATGCACACACATTGCACATACACACACACGTGCGCACACACATCACACGTACGCACACCACATGCTTACACACGTGCAGTTCCCTATGCTGTTAAGGATCAGAATACTCTGCATTGTGGTTCAATGTTTTCGTGCCATTTGAGGCTGTGGAAGCGTCAGTAGCCTCTCACTCGTGAAAAGCAAAGCCCAGCAAACCGGGAGCCCCTTTCAGAAGGTGCTTCTGAATGTTCGGGCATCCAGGGATTTCTCACTGTGAAACGCGGATGCTAAACCCGTTCCTTTGCCCCTGGACCTTCGTCTACAGGCTGACCCAAAAGGCACCAGGAGTTCTGGTTCTTAAGAAGAACCTGCTGGGTACGAGATCCCACGGAGCAACCCTGGGGCTGGGTGGAGCACCTAGGGCATTTGTGTGCGAGCTCTGCTTGCAGGAGGTCTGGATTTGATCCTCACGGGCCCCTGAGCACCTGACCGGGAGTAGCCTCTGAGCACAGCCGGGTGCGACCCCAAATTAAGCCCCCACCCAAAGGGAACTATCACTGCAAGTGGCCTGCAGAGGGGGCTGGGAAGACAAAGACGGTTTATTGGTCGATGAAGCATTTGCCTCTGGTGGGGGGGGGGGGGGCGCGGGGAGTGAAAGGAAACGCCTCTCTCAAAGCCCTGCCTGCCGTGAGTTTGAATCCTGGTGTTCCCATGAACGAAAATAAGTGGCTTCCTGGAAAATCCCCCCTCCCAGAAGCCTCGCAGCCAGGCCTACCTCAGGCTGCGCTGAATGTCCACCGTGTTCACCCCACCGATTGTTTCCTGCGACTCCCAAGGGAGCTCTGGGGTGAGGCTGGGTAAAAGGTCACGGCCCCATCAGCACCCAGAGTAAGGAAGCTGAATCCAGCCTTGGGTGGGGCGGGAGGGGGGTTCATCTCGGCCACTCCCTCACTTCAGACAAAGCTCACTGAGCTAAGTCACTCTCACCCACCTCTGACCCAGTGGCAACGCCAAGGTCACAGAGAAAGGACTGGCACCTTCCTGCTGCCGTGCCTGGCAGCTTTTCACCCCCTCCCAGGCCTGTGGGGCCCACTGCCTCTGTCGGCTTTCCCCGGCCCACCTTCCTCTTCCCGTCACCCTGGTTATTTGTTTATTTGAGAAGGAGACCTGGGGGTGCTCCTCACAGTTCTCAACGAACAGAGCTGGACTTCAATACTGAGGTCCATGGATGCTGTACTGTTTGGGCTCTGGACCGTGTGGTGCCAGGGATGCAACCGCAGTTGGCACATACATACCTTAGCCCAGTACCTTATTAACTCCAGGACCGGTCTCTCTCTCTCTCTCTCTCTCTCCCTCCCTCCCTCCCTCCCTCCCTCTCTCTCTCTCTCTCTTTCTCTCCCCTCAGCCCCACCCTTGGTTTTTTAAAAACGTAGCTTCCCTTTTCTTCCTTACTCTCGTCTTCTTTAATGAATTTCTGACCCTTCTCTCCACCCCACTGCAGCAGGCCTCGGTATCTTCTCACCATTACAGCCTCTGGACTACGCCTTGCATATAGTAGGTGCTCAATAAATGTTTCATTGCCCAGAATAATAGCCTCTCCCCAAAGGCGGGAGCTGTCAGAGCCAACCGCACGCTACTGGGCACTCGAAGGCTCAGCATGATTTAGCACGGAAGGGAACAAGGTGTGAGATCGTTTTCTCGGTCCTCTGCCCGCCATTACCCTGTGTGGACGCTATGGTCCTGCTACTCTTCTGTCTCCTGGGGAACTGAGGCACTGGCTGAGGTTGGGTTCAATGCCCATCCTTCTACAGCTAAACATGAAGACTTGGTACTGTCTCCGTGCTAAGGCCTGAAAAAAAAAAAGTTGCTATTCTCTTGGGAGAAACAAGAGCAGAGGATTTTATACCAGAAAGCACCCAGGCAGAAAACCACAGATGTGCCCATTTCGCTTTGGTGAGAACAAAATTGTCGTCTGTGCATTCTTCCTTCCCCACCTGTTCTGGCCTGCCCAGTCTAAACACCTCAGCCCAAACGGGCAAATGGCTCATGCATGGTCTTTTAAACCAGGAGGAAAAAAGATTAGATAAACAAACAAGCCACAAGAGCAGGGCTAAAAGCCATCTTCATAATCGGCAAGGAGTGTTTCTGTGGCTGGCTTAGGGCGTCCAATAATCAGGGTAAATAAGTAACTTTAGAAAAGCCCTGCGCCTTTGTCAATATTTCTGTGAAATATGAAGGGAAAACATTAAGGCGAAACACAACAAGTCATAAACAGTAATTATTCTTCCATTCATTGGTCTATTGATTACAATGACAATGGCCTAAGCATCTTATTTGGCTTTCAAACTCCTTGGATGGTTCTTAAAATTCTTTTCTACAGCCTGACCATGAAAAACCTACGTGAACAATACCACATCAAAAAAAAAAATCATTAGGTGTGAAAGTCTTCACAGTTATGCTACTGGGCTCGGGTTCGAGACAGAAGGGACCAACGTTTTATGAAGAAGAAACACACACATGGATCTCCCAGTCATTCATTCTTATGGCAAAATAGTTCCATCACATCTAATCTTATAATTAAGATTCCAATGGGTTCCTAATGATTCATTTGTACTGGCCTATCAAAAGGGAAGACTTTGTAGTTGTAATCTTTCTCGAATAGCAATAGTGTTTTAATTACAAATGGCTGGCTTATTAGTTGTTCAAGAGTGAATGACAATTAGGTGGAGCCTACTGCAACCGTTCCTAGTCCAGGTTCTAAAATAAATAGGCAAGATGGAGCTTCAAATGCTGCCCTGCAGTGAGGCTCTTTCGGTGCCTGCTAGAGCCAAAATGTACTTAGTCATTTTTAAGTCATAGGCAAGAAGGAAAATGGCTCCCGCTCGGCCCCCCGTCCCCTCCCCCACAAAAGGTGTCGCAGGAAGGCGATTTCATGGCAAGCCCCAAGAACGGAATCACTAGGACATGAATCACTGTCCCAACCGAACTGAGCCAGCAAAGACTCCAAGGAAAACATTTAAGTTGGCCTCCGAACAACAACACAACCACCACCACCACCACCACAAACCCCTAGCTTATGGGAGGTCTGCTCTGCAAGCAGGTGTTCCGGATGACGAGCACTGCTAGAATGAAACAACGATTGACAAAGATGGTTCTGCATCTCAGCGTTCTACACAGGGAGCAAACTTCGGAAAGGGTTCGGGCTGGGCAGGCTAGGTCTGGCTCACAAGGCTTGGTGAGCACCATTCTCTGGGGTGGGGGCGCAAGGGCTTGGGTGCTGCTCTCTGCCGGGAGCACTGAGATTCCCCGTACAGGGGTGAGGAGAGAGGAGAGCACAGCATTCCCTGAGACTCGGAATTTCTGAGCGACCTTCGGTTGCAGTGGTGCTGGGGAACCCACGAGAACGAAGCTGCACCTTTGCACACCAACCTTTGATGACAAAGAAAACCCGACTTTTGCAAGTACTGAGCACAAAGGGAGAAGAAAGCAGCTCTCAGTGGGCCAGCTTGGGCTACGTGGGCATAGATGGGGCTTCAGTTTGAAGGCTGGAAGACCGCATTTTAAAACCCTTCAGAGCCCAGTTCAGACCCTCGAGCAAAGGGGCAAAAAAAAAAAAAAAAGCACTGCACATTTTTCAGTTGACATTGGTTTCTTGTTAAGAGACCATCTTCGGCAGATCTGGGACTGCATTTTTAAATAAGATGTGGTTGCCAAGGAAACAGGTCTGGCCCAGTGTTCATTTGGAACTAAAATATATTTGAGAAGTTAAGCTCAAAGGTAAGAGCCCATGAAATTATTTCTGAAAAGTCACAGCATTTGGTACCTAGAGACCGGAGCTGAAAAGTCTGCACTGAAAACATTCAAGGGACACTCATTCATTCAGTGAGGCTCTTTTTCTCCTAGCAGGGCCTTTTCCTGATTATAAGTCCCCCCCTCAATAAACATATACAGATAGTGTGCACATTCTTGTATATTATCTAAAATAGATCTTGGAAGCATGTAAGCTTTTGTTTCCGTCTTCCATATAACACGCTTAAAGACCGCTTCTTAAATAAAAAATATTTTTTAATATTTTTGATGAAGCCTGCTTGCGCTCTTCATAATTTTCTCCAGAAACCCCATTTATTTTTAGTTTCAAGCTAGCATGGAGCTGAGTCAACAGACTTTTCAAAAAATTCTTTTGTTGTCTAATAGCGCCACACCTATCATATATATAAATGTATATCTATGATTTTTTTAAAAAGGAACCATCTCACTACTGCATAGCATCAACATCTTAAAAATTCATAACTACTATATATTTACATAACACATTCATGGGGAAGGCTATTCGACCCGATGCTCTCCCTCCCCCAAATTACAACTCTTTTATACCATTTTTGTTTTAAAAGTCATATTTTAATTCATCTGATATTCTGACTTCATGGCTTGCAAAAGAAAAATCTATAAAACATGCAAATTTCAACCTACCTGTATGTATCACTTAATGCAGTGCTAGCATAAGACATTCAGCCATTTTTATGGAAAGCGATGGAGACCAACTGATTTCTCGTCTTCTGGCTCACAAGTTTTAGATGCAATTGTCACACTCAAAAAAAAAAAATCATACGCAGAACAGCTTGAAGGTACTGCGCTCACAAGAACTGAATTTATCAACAGAAAACAGGATTGAAAAAAAAAAGTATTTCATCCAAGGTTTCTCTGAGGCTGCAACCAAAACATGGTGTGTTCAATCCCCCCACGCCCCTCCTCTGAGAGTTCAAAGCCCGGAGCTGACCACTGCAAGGGCCACCATCACGTTTGTTGAAAATCAAACCACTCTGAGACCTGCCCTGAAAATACAAATTTGAGAACCAAGTTGTTTGCACCCCCACGGAGTGCCTCTGAGTTAAAAATAGGTACCACCTTGCCTCCTACCTGCATCATAAATATGTAAGTTTCGAGTGTTTAATTTGATATTCACATTAATTAACAATACAACATACATTATTTAAAAGATAGCAAATGCAGAAAGAAACGGGAGACACCATCTGGTAGCAGAGTTTGGTTGTTGTTGTTGTTGTTGTTTTGAGTGAGGATCTTTCTGTTGCTGGCTTTGTTTAAAAAAAAAAAGGTAAAACTCTATTTTTGAATGTAATGAAAGGCAAACCAACCTCCGGAAGCAAATGAATCGGAACGGAAAGGTGATGCTGAAATCTCTCAGGCTGTAATGAGGCAAAAAGAAAGAAAGAAAGAAAGAAAACAAAACAAAAAAACAAAACCCCAAACCCAAGTCTTCACCACCAGATGATACGGCACACAGAGCATTTACATACCCACATCTGAAATACTAGGCAACGTGTAATGAATTCTCTACACAGCACGCACACACAGCACCAGCACGGCTAATCCTGCCTGCCATCTTAGCTCGCAGGAGCAAGATGACTAACTGCATGCAGTTCCCGGGCACTGGGGAAGGAGGAGGCAAGGGGGTGCTCACCTGAATTGCAGTATCTGATTAATGTTGTAAGTGACATTGCATATCAGCCTCAGAGTCTTGGTTCAACTGGGTAGGAGGGAACAAAGAAAAATGCCAGCAACTGGTGATGCAAGATGAGCCCAATCACTAAACACTGTTTCACAAACTCCAAATTCTGCCCCCAGACAGCAAAAGGCGTTGTAGACACTTGAGTCGAGCGGCTGCACCGCGAATGTTTCCTTCTGCTTCTGAGAAGTGCAAGGAAAAAAAAAGGAAAAGAAAGAGAGGGGGAAAAATCCTTTTGCTAACGGAGGAAGTGAGCTGGGATGAAATCTGTCATATCTTCTTCCTGAAGGAAGCTTGCAGACAGTATGTATCTGGCTGGGGATGCATTTCATAGACTGCTAATTTCCCAGAATTGCTCACAGATGCAATAATACTTAAAACAAAAACAACCAAACCTGTGAAGCTTTTGAAAAATAAAGAATAATATTAAAAAGGGTGGAGCTCTCTCTAGCTCTCTCTCTCTCTCTTTTTTTCCTCTCTCCTTTAAATCCTAAATGCTGCCGGCAGGCTTGTGGAAGAATGCATGATCAGCTGTCTGTGGCAGTGTTATAACCTCTAACCACAAGCGTGTAAATGTATCCTGCTAAATCTATCTGCAACGCAGAATGGCAGATACCGCCCCGCTCAGAATTATATTAAAATGTGAATGAATTTGCTTAAACGGAGAAGCAGAATAAAAGCAGAGCAGAAAAAGAAATGGAGGCTGATCTCTGGAGGTAGAGCTGACCACCAGGAGCCATAAAAGCTGTCCTTAGGAGACTGACCTACATAAGGGAACACCACAGCCCTGCGGACGGCAAGCTCCGCTCCCAGGGCTGGAGACGCACAGGGACCTCTCCTCCTTCCCCCTCCAAAAGCGAAGCGGTGAGGAAACCAGCCATTCACAGGGGTGCCAGAAGACTATGTATGTATCTATACGGATGTGTGCGTGCGTGTGCATGTGTGTGCGTGCATGTGTGTGTGTGCGCGCGCATGTGTGTGTGTGTGTGTGTGTGTGTGTGTGTGTGTGTAAATGCATCATATTCTGGCATGGAAATGGTGTGCTGAGACGCAGAGCCTCTTTGTTTTATTTTGAGGCTTATCTTCGCTCCGCTTGGGATGACATTGACATCACTGGAGGTCAGGGCTGACACTGGCGTGCGATCCATTTTATGAGTGAAATGTTTTCCGAAAATTAAATCTCATCTACTCAAACACCAAATTTCATGTCTCCTTCAGTGCCCCCTCCTTCCCCCCGCTGCTCAAGATTGATGGGGTCTAGTTTGGCTGAATGTAATAAATCGGAATCGCCTTCTGTAGCGATTCTAATTCCAAAGTGTAAGAATTAATATTTCTTTAAGAAAAGGTTGGAGAATTCTCATGCATTCCATTGCGATCCGTGCCATCAAGACACCACGCACGCACGCACACAGAGATGCATGCATACACACAATGGAAGCTCAAATTGCAATGAAATGTTTAACCAAAAAAAAAAAATGTGGAAAAAGCTGCTTATTCAGGAGCATGAAGAAATGTCTAATAAGCAAACACTGTTTTTGCGACAAAACCAGTGTCACCACCATGTCCCCAGAAAAAGGAAAACAGAACAGCAAGAAACATTTCCTTCAGATCCTGCTTACAAGGTACAACACCCCCCACCAAACACACACACCTCCACACGTGTGCGCGCGCAGACATACACATACACACACACGCACATGCATACACCGCACACAACCCCCACGCTCGCACACACATGCACATACACATGTGAATATACACGTGAGCGCGTGTGCGCACACGCACGCGCGCGCACACACACACACACCCCGGAAATGCATTTCATTTACCCTGCTATATAAAACAAGAAGGTTTTTATTTTTAAGGAAATAGAACAGATTCTTTCCCACTCTTTCCAGCTACAAAGCAACCATACCCGCCCCCACCCGCAGTTCCTGGACATAAGCCAACACTAAAAAAAAAAAAAAAAAAAGCTCTAAGACTGATTTTGAATATATGACATTTAGTGTTTTTCTTCTTGTTCTCCCCCTCCCCCCCAAGCCTGTGAGTCCCTATCACATTGCTGATTGCAATCATTTTTAAAGATGGATTCATATTTTCTAGGACTGCTAGTTTTCCAGCGCCTCCATCTTCCTGTAACGGCTGAAACAACTCGGCTTAGCAAAACAGTCAGGATCCCCTGAGTGTCTTAAAGGGGCAAAGGTTCTTCCAACATCTTGACTTAGGCACCCGGGTTCACCATGGAATCTTTTGTTTCCGTCTCCTCTGCTCTTTTTCCCTCAGAGCCCAGGTAATTTTCAGCGCGCGGTCTAGAAAGGACTCAACCTCGGAACCTGGAAAGTCTCTGAGTTGGGGGCGCTCCGGGTCCCTGGTCACACCTGAACTTCCCTGGACCCTCTTGTCTTGGACACGCCCCCCCAGCTACAGCATGTGTCCGGGATGGAGAGTCCCGGGGGTCCCTGGTCCTCCCCACCCCCATCCCCATTGGACCTGGCACAGGGAGGGCTGCAGGTTACAGACACCGACAGAACATTCAAACAGTGTCCCCGGGCCAATTCCTCCTGTGGCGTGAGGGGGGACAGGCTTAGAGAGACAATCGCCCCGAGTGACAAGGTGCCAACTTAGCAGCCGGTAATGTGGGCAGCACACCCCAGGCCTGGCATATTGAGCTGAACGCTGCTCATGCCAGGCAGCCGGACGTTCGTGTGACTGAACTCAAGAGTCACGCCATTGTGGGGGTTGAGCAGGGAATCCCCTCTGACCCCAGGAGCAGGGGGCCACTGGGTCCCCTGCTGGGATCACAGGCATCGCGGCCAGGTCCTCTGCCCCGCTGGACTCCTGCAGCGGGCAGCCAGGAGCCCAGGAGCCAGAGTCGGCTTCGGGGCCCAGAATAGTGACCCTGGCTGTGACCCTCCCTGCACCCTGGGAGTTGGGTGCCGGGGTGAGTGATGCCCAGTGCTCCTGGGGGGTTTCTCTGCCAGCTCCCTCCATCAAAAGGAGCCAGAAGGCCATGGGCAGGGTTTGTTTCGTGACGTCCCAGAAAACACTGCAGGAGCAAAGGCAGCTCGTTTCCCAAACCTGCTTGGATTAAACACATTTGAAGTGGAGTGGAAGCGAGCAGATGGATGAGCCTTGTTTGGGCAGACATTCCCAACTGGTCAAGCCTGTTTGGTGCCTTGAAGGAAAAACCCACATGGGGCCTGGATTATTTCAGTTTTGTCAGGGTTGAAGAGGCAAGAGGATGCCTACATCAAGGGCTTCTAGAAAGTACGAGCTCCCTGGCCAATTCCTTCGGACGCACTCATGTCACACGTGAATCCCTCTTCTCTCTCTCCCTCCCTCCCTCTCTCTCTCTCTCTGTCTCTGTCTCAGACTCTCTTTCTTTCTCTTTCCCTCTCTCTCTCTGTCTCTGTCTGTCTGTCTGTCTGTCTGTCTCTCTCTCTCTCTCTCTCTCTCTCTCTCGCTCTCGCTCTCGCTCTGCCTGTCAGTGAAAATTTCAACCTGTTTCTGCCCCGTGGACTTGTTAAGCCAGAGGCACCCTACAGAAGCTGGCAGTGGGCACGGCAGCCAGGGCCCAGCCTTTCAGTTGGATTAACGCTCTGCCCTGATCGCCGTCTCACTGCTCTGCAGCTTGTTTATTTCCACTCCTGTGGGTTAACGTTAAATTGCACAGTTGTTGCGAAGTACGTGACTCAAGTATGGACAGAGCAGGACTCTGTTTTCAAACCCAAAACAACATAAAGTCAGAGCCCAGAGTCCAAAGGAGCCCTTGCTTGATAACCAGGCAGATTGGTTTGCACCTTTTCCCCCTCTTTCTTTTTTCTCTCCTTCCTTCCTTCCTTCCTTCCTTCCTTCCTTCCTTCCTTCCTTCCTCCCTCCCTCCCTCCCTCCCTTCCTTCTTTCCTTCCTCCCCCTTCCTCCTCCCTCCCTCCCTCTCTTCCTTCCGTAGTTTTGGACCACAGCCAGCTGTGCCACGACTGCCACACGTCACACTTATGCTCAGCCCTTTGAGCTGGCTCCTTGGTTTGCTGCACGCCTTTTCTTACACCATTCGCAGCATTACAACTAGGGGACTGGAGAGATGGTACAGGGGTTAGGGCGCTTGCCTTGCATGGATCAAACCATCCGGGTTTGATTCCCGGCACCCCATATATTCCCTGAACACCACCAGGAGTAATTTCTGAGTGCAGAGCCAGGAGGAACCCCTAAGCATTGCTAGGTGGGTGACCCCAAGACAAAAATCACAGTGCACAGTAGCGGAAGACATAGTGGTATTCGGTGGGCAAGGACCTGGCCTGCACGTGGCCATCCTGGTTCAATCCTCAACCCCAAATATGATCCCCTGAGCTCCGCCAGGAGTGATCACTCAGTAGAGAGCCAGGAGCAAGCCCTGGGCACTGCCAGGGGTGGACTGAAAACAAAAACAAAACAAAATTATATTTATTTTTCATCTACA